CTCATCCTGGCCNGAAAGCTCGTCGCCCCCACAAGGTTTGTCGCACTCGAGTTCCCCTCGCCTGTGAGAACCGTCACCAGCGACGACGTCAATTCCTTGTTTTTCGCAGTAAGCCGGGAATAGATGCCATCCGCAGCGGAAAGAAGACCGAGGAAGGGAGCCTTATTGCTTGCCATGGCCGCCTCCAACAAACTTGGGGGAAGATGAGGAACAACCAGCACAATCGCCCGCGGCAGACTTTGGTCCTCGCCCTGCTGTACGGACGAAGTTGCAACGACAACAAGACAGGCAAGCAAAAGAAATATAACAGCAACCACAATAGCTGTTCGGTACGTTGCCCGGGAATTCAGCAGCGCCTTGATCTCCGGTGCATGAACACCGGGCTGCGTCACTGGTTTCACCCTTGATGCCTCTCGCGCCATGACAACTCCTCAATCTTCACTTCTCTCGTGGCTACCGTGCTGGTCTCCGGTTGCTCACATGTCATTAGTTCTAAAGAAAGAACAGCAATTAAAAAAAAAACAGTGCAATAATCTTAGCCTGCCTGAAAAACAGTTGGCACAAGAATGGATAGAGAAATAAAAGGAGGAGAGTACACAAGAAAAAGTATATACCGCAGTGGAAACGATTTTGTCAAGTGACGGTTAGCGTATTTGCCACCTTTGCAATTACCGGTTCATTTGGTTTCCTTGCGGAGAATCTGAAACGAAGCAAAAACAAGAACAACAGATGAAAACACCTGTAGGAGAATCTTATAAAATTTGGGCTGAAATATCATTGAAGTCAGCTTCATGTGCGGCTAAATAATTGTTCTCGCACCCTCACGTTTGTCTCTGCATGGGGCACCGTGTCAGTTTCATTGCTTCCTCCCCCTGTGGCTGCGGGGTACGTCGGCGTGGTGTTCAAATGCAAAATAAGGACAAGAAGCACAGTACATGTCGCTGTATAGTAAATCGAAAAACAAGGCATGAAAGATCAATGAGTAAAAAGAAGAACATATACGTCGTGAGCAAAATTTAAAAAAAAACACACACACTCATATAAGTCAAGGAATTGCGCAGCACGTGAGCATCACATGGAGTTACACTTTTTTTTCCCCTACTTTTGTTTATGTACTGCGATACCCCACTACTCCCATGGTTTGCATACATGAAGTGGAGCAGAGGATATGAAGCTTGACCGCCCAGTGTGGGTGCTGGTTCATAGAAAAGGAAATATGGTGAAAGAGGCCGACATTTTTTTTTTTTTATGTACTGACATGTGGAAGCTGTTTTATGTTGCTGTTTTTGTGTTTCACCACATTGGCTGCTTCTCTTGGAACAATGACCATCGAAGCAAAACAAAAGAAGAGACGCACCACAAACAAACCACAAGAAAAAGGAGATGCAGAGGAAAAGAGAAGCATCAAGGTCACCCCCCTTTCTTTTCCCTCCCCTCCCCAATTCCCTTTTCTGTGGCTTGACTGCATGTAGTACGCAAAACACATCTCCCTCCCACCTAACATTCATAGCAAGGAAGTTAACCTAATACATATGTGTATCTCTGCGTGTGTGCCTGCGCCTTCATATGCAGACCCTTCTTACCTTCATCCTGCATCAGGAGATCGGAAAGAAATCAACGTAACCGCAACATATATATATATATATATATATATATATCATAAATAACAACCATTTATAAAAGGAAACACAAGACCATCCGTTTTGAATTTCTTTCTGCGCCCATTTTCATCTTCTTGTTGTTCCCACAACTCTCTTAATGCTTTCGTAAATAGCATGCATGCGTACGTATATACGTGTATCTACGAAACTTTAAATAAACATACACACTCACCCCCCTTCTCACACGCACAAAAAAAAGGTGGAAAATAATGAAAAAAAAACTTTACCAACTTCAGTGGCAAACTGCATCATAAAAATCTGCCAATGACTCATGTACTTCGTCCAACTCCTTTTGCGTCAGGCTGGGTGCCAATATGAGGGCTCGCTGCGCGTCCTGCGTTAACGACTCCGCACGTTTCAACATATTTGAAGGGATGCGTAGTCGATGGGTAATCTTGTCACATAACTCCTTGATTCCTTCAACTGTCCGTTGTTTTCCATCCTGCGCCCGACGCATGACTTCCTGCATGGCAGCGACACGACTGTCCTCTCCAGGGGTAAAGCTGATACTTTGTAATGCTGCCTGTGCTGTGTTGCTCGCCAGGTTCATTTCTTCCAGTGTGGCTCCTGGTGCCAAAGCGGCGTCGAGCTTCTCAAGAGCACTGCAGGCCACGCAACGATGCACCTCCACAGAAGTGTACGTTGCACGATCCAACAAAGATATACGAATGCGTGTTAGTCCCTCTTTGACAACTACAACGCAATGCGCCTTTTCCTCCCTAACGAGAGCTTCTCGCTCTGAACGCTCCAATTCAATTAAAAGTCGACGATACAGGGATTCACTCTCACTTATTTCATCTACGCTCTCAACACACAGTATTCTACGATCCTCAGATTTTGTCAAAGCCATAGGGGCAAGTTGTCGCGTGGCACTAATCGTTTGATGCGAATAAGAGGTCCCTTCCCTTATCGTCACGGCAGCCTGTGTGTCAGCACCATTCGTGGCCAATGAGGCAGCAGGAAGAAAACTATTAGAGGAAGCGGCATTCTGTGGTGCTGTTGAACTCCTTGTGGGTACCCTAATCTCCCCTTCTGTTGGACGTGGGCTGCGGACCTGGTTTTGGTGTGTTGAGCGTAGAGTCAATTTCACCAACTTCTGTAAAGCACCTGTGTTGGGAAGGCCAGAGACAAGAACATCTCCAAGTATGTCTTCTTCATATAGCGTCCGAGTGTCCTGAAGAAGAATAACGTTGGAATAGCAAACGTCATTACCGATCAAACCTTGCCGGTAAATTCGTCGTAAGATCTCACACTTGCACATGCCAACCGTGGCGTTGACGCTTATAGGAAGCAGGACTTCTCGGTTCTCGGTAGAACACTGTATATCCACCACTAAATGTATCTTTTCCCCCTCGGGAAGCGGATCACCAGGAGGAAAAGTCTCAAACTTATCGGCTGTGAATTCAGGCCGCTGTAACCAATTCAGTTTGATGATTAATTCGGAGGCAAGTTGCTTGACGTGTCCAACGCACTCCGTCACGTGCTGACGCAGGGTACCCATCTCTGCCTCATAGTGCGCCTTCAATTCCTGCAATTCATATTCCAACTTTTGCTTGAGCGTTTTTAGCTCGCTAAAAACTAACTGAGGCCACTCTCCCTCCCTCTGTAATACCTGCGTCTTCAGCTCCCCAAGGTTTGCATCCAGCACTGTTTGTAACCCACTAGTTTGTTTTTTAGAGGAGCCTGGCTGCTTCGTCAGATCGACAAGGTGAGATCGCGAGCCACATTGGGAACCATTCATTTCAGCAATGACTTTGTCCTGCCCCGATTTCAGTTCCTGAGTAGCTTGTACATTATTTGCTATGCTTTGTCGCAATTCCTGGATCACCTCCGTATTACTTTCTTTGGGAACATTGTCGCCGCATCTCTCAGCTTTAGACGAGCCATCCGACATGGTGTCTTCACGTGGCATATCGTCAAGGCGAGAACACGGAGAACGGGGCCCAACCATCATGCTTACAGACGTCTTGGAGTCTGGGAACATGGTGGAACTCAACTCCGTCACAACATCGCCGTTTAACTCCCGCGTTTTTGATGCAATCGGACGCAGGGGGTCGTCATTGTTTTCCCTCTTAAATTGTAAGGCACCATCTAACAGCGTCTGGCGACTGGAACATTCACTGGCGCCTCCGTACTGGCTTTGCTCGCGTGCCGCATCAAGTGTCTTTGCTGTTGCGTCGTCTTGAGACCGCATATCATCCCTCATCTCGCTTCCTACCTCAGCACAAATACTTGCCCGCCCGTCGTTTGTCGCAGTAGTTGAATTCCCATGCAATTTCTGTATGTTGTTACTCAAAAGCACTTCCGGTGTCAATTCCTTAACGCCCATGGAGAGCTGAGATGCAAAACGATCCAGGTTTTTGCGGCTAAGAATATCTGGCCAAACATCAGATCCACACACACTCTCAACACTGCAAACCGAAATGTCAAAAAATTTATTTTTTGATTTGTTAAATTTCAGATGCGGGGACGATTGTTCAACATCCGACGTTACAAAGCAGCCACGGGCACCCTCCTCCACCTCTGATGCCACTGAGGCAATGCCCACATGTTTGCCTCTAGATCTCCTTCGCTTAACGCAGAATGTGTCATCGTCAAGTAATTCTGGGTGCAAAGTTGCTTTTCCGTCCGACAAGTCCTTTTCCATCTGATAAAGATTCTTCTTGTTTAATTGAATAGATTCCCGCTCCCTTTTGACGGATTCAGATGAGGAATGCCCCCGCGAAAATTCACTACAACCAACACCCACAGCGCCTTCTAGCACGCACGGACTTCCCCATACTGTTTCCCTTGATGTCACACTCTGCTCATTCCAAAGCATCCCGTCCTCCACCTCGTCGGCCGCATTACTGTAACGATTATCTGCGTCATCCTTCGCCGTTCCCAGTGGCGGCATGCTGCTGTTCTTCACCTTCAAATCTGGCGGTGCGGTGAAATTCTCCTCTATCGCAAGATGAGAGGCGTCCTCCGCACCACGGCAAGCAGTAGGCGACAATGGCGCCTCTCTACTCATAGTATAATGCGTCAATTCAACAAGAAAAACCTGAATTGTGTCAAACCAACTGCGCCAGATAATTACAAAAAAATAATATTTGTAAAGCTAGCCTTCAGCCTTTTCAGAGATGACGACAAACAAAAAAAAATGACTTTTACCTACACTTCTTGTCTTCTAAATTACTGTTTCTTCGCCTTTGCCGCCCACACTCACACTCACGCACTCGACCTATATATGTATATATATTTATAACTGTTTGTTTATGCACGGGTTGAATAAATACTGCTGCTGCAAAAGGGTACGCAACTTTGCCTTCCTGCCTTTGCACAAAATATATGGATACCTAAATCTCCTATTTTATCTTGCGGAAAAACAACGCATTCACGCATATACACGCACACACAGAGATAAACAGACACACGTAAACATAAAGAAGCAAAGATACGAACAGACATGCCGTACAGGAGACGCAGCCTAAACATATGTATATGTCTCACTCGGAAAAGGGCACAATTCCAAGCGATGCTGAATTGCGCACAGTTTAAAGCGTTTCCACAAAATTTGTTCCTTGCTTTATTTCCCTTTCTCTCTATTCATTTCACACGCCTTCTCCCATACTCTCCCTTCCCCCAAGTTCGATCAGTTTCTTTGTGTGGGAGTCCCCTGCCATTTTTTTTTTCTTCCTCAGGGGGTTTACACCTTCCCCACCCGTTCCCATCCTTCACACTTCCCTTTATACTTTTTTTCCCCTTTTCGCAGTTAGCACTCCCCCTCCATTGTTTCATTCGTTTTGTACAGTCCCTCAGCCTTATGTCTCTCCCACTCCTCGAATTTTTTCCGTTTTAGATTTCGTACTCGTTGATGCTTGTCTCTCGCCGTTCTTTCGTCGATGTGATCCTCCTCCTTTCTTTTTTGCTGGACCATAATCAGTGGCGCAATAAACATACGCACAGAGACATATTTGTAGTTTTATAAAAATAAACGCATATGCACCATCCCAGGGCCACACCACTTCCTCGTGCTCATCACCCCTCCACCCCTCCACCCCCCCCCCCCCACTCTCTCTGTCCCGCAGACGTGTCTGCGCCCCACACACCTCACGACTTATCATTGAGGGCAGCGGAAAGAAGCACACGGCGGGGCAACAAAGGATAGAAGGATGTAAAAAAGGTCCTTTATGAAACAACAAACAGCAATAAACAGGTGACTCAAGGCCATCCCCACTGGCATATGCAGACCTCACACGCGCATCTTCACACTGCCGTGCAGATTCAAAAAAAACAAAACGAGGAGGGGGGATACAAGGCGCAAAACAATGAAAACACGCAGTAAATAATACGGAGGTAACATCATAAGAAAGAGGAACAATTGAACAAAAAACGGCAGGCAGTCCTCAATTGAATGCTCTGTTTCACCATGCCTCTTCCCCTCCTATCAAATCGAAATGAAGTCCACTGCCCTTTAGTACAAAGAACAGCAAATATACGGGCATCGATTCCTTGCAAAACTAGTATAACGACAATAACAAAACAAAGCCCAAATCAACTAAAAACGTTGGTGAAAAAAGCTTTCTTAAAAAGGTGTAGACGCATATATATATATATATATATATATATATATATTATTTTTATTATTATACATACTTGGGATGAGCCATGCTTTTCCTCGTTTTTTTTTTTGTATTCACATTGACGTTCTCTTGCTCATCCTTTCCCCCCCCCTCTCCAAGCTCTACTTCTGAGTGGAAGTCGTGCCACGCACATCGGTCTGCTCCACACGTCGGTCAACAACACCGGCAAGCGAGCCAGGGTTGCGATCCACGTTGGTCGGTCCACCAGCCTTGTAGACACCCGTATACATATTCTTGTCGTCGTGAAACTTCACGGCGTCGGCCTTTGTTGCGCGTGCCTCAGGAGAGCTGTTTGCAACAGTCCCGATCACCTCATCCACGGACTTTTTTAACCTGGTCGCAATCTCAGGGAGAGCCTTGTCGGCAAACTCCGCGTAGGTGATCTTGCGGGCTCCCTTTGCCTTCACCTTGTTGAAAAGTAGATCGGCGTCCGTGCTAGTGAAGGCCTTCCCAATTATTTTCGTCTCCTTCAGCATCTTGGAAAAGTGGGCGTTGTCCATTTCTTTCGAGTGTGGGCCACCAAAAGAGGCGAAGGCGTAAAAGGCGTTCTCAAGGCTCATTTTTGAAGTAGTGGATTTTTTGTTGTTGTTGTTATCACGGTTTACCTTTAAACAGAGAATCTTCGGAGCAGCGCGGCAATGGAAAAAATACACGCAAATTAACAAGCAAAAAAAAAAAGAGAAGAAAAATAAAAAGAAAAAAATACAGATACAAGTTTAGGTGTGTGCATTCACGCCGATGCGCTTCAATGCAGAGACCACAGATATACATGCAGGTGGGTCCAACCACTGCGGCTGGTGCCAATAGGGAGGACGTCAAAGACGGCAACCCACCAGTTCGTGTACGCACATACGCACACACTGTAGCATGCATGCACTTCCAGAGAGAGACGCAAGCGCCGTAACTGGCGTCACACATCCTCAATTGCTTTACTCTCTATTCCCCCTTTCCTCCTACTACAATCTCTCACTCTCGACCACCTCCCTTTACACTCCACTGACGATTACATGGGTAAAAAAAAAAGAAAAAAATATCAAAGGTGCAAACACCAGAAACAAACAAAAACAATACCCTACCACCACCACCAAAAGGAGTGGGGGTTAACTTTTTTTTTTTTAGTGATGTTTTCTCGCATCACTTCAATGTCCCGCGGGCCGGGGCACCCTCGTAGAATAAGTCCGTTCCTGCCAGGTGAAGATGCAAAAACTAAAAAAAAGCACGGACCCCAAAAAAGAAAGAAATGGGTATTAATGCCAAAAGTTGATTGCACAATCATTCAAAGAACTCTGCACCTAAACTGTGGTAGAGTCCGTGAACAAACACCAAGATTGTCACCAATGCGACGCTCACAGCGTGGACGTCTTCGCCGAGTCACGGTCCAAATATGCTCGCAGTCGACTTGTGCCGCGGCTTGCTGCTGGTGCCGGCATGGTCGAGGCTCCTGTACGACAATTTTTAGTGCATCCTGAAATATCAGCTGAGTAAGGGGCAAACGCAGGAGTTGTACTTCTCACACACCGTAGTGATTCTAGTTCCTCTACTGCGTTTAATAATGTCTGGGTTACATTACCTCGTAGAACTTGTTGCTGAGCAAGAAGCGCATTCCGTTTCGCTTCTCGTTGGTGACGCCGCTGTTCCAACTCCGCCACCTCCTCACGCGACCCACCAAATGACAAGGTACCAAACTCCGAGGCAATTTTCAAAGACTGCGGCACAGCATCTGCAATGCAGCGGGGCAACTGCTTTAATGTCCCCTCAATATCCTTGATGGCCGCAGTTGCTGTTTGATTTACAGGAATCTGCTGACGCACTTTGCCATAATACTCTGCATAATTCATGTAATGATTCGGCTGACAGTAACGATTTGTGTACGCCTCCAGTTTTTTCTTGAGGTTAGACTGCCGCTGCTTTTGCCGTTCCCTTAGTCTTGTCTTACTTGCGACGGAGTTCGCCACACCGTTGACTTTTGCCTTGTCTCCATGTGCTAAAGGCCCACTCCTTTCAGAACATGTCACAGTGCGCGAATGAGATGGAACAAGTAACAATTCGCTCTGATGGCCCTTCTCTCTGTACGCACTTGAGGCTCGCCACTCTGCGCGTTCGCCATAATTTCGAGGCTGCAGAGACCACTCAGCGGAGGATGGCCGATTAGACAAAACATCCTCGAGTGACAAACCAGTGCGCATGCCAACTAAAGGCGACCTACGCAACGACTCGTGGCACGTGGACTCCTCCATCTGTCCAACCTCCACAACCTCACAGCTCCGTGAGGATTGTTCTACAAACTCCTCCTTAAGCACAATAGATTCAAGAACCTCAATTCGCTCTCGTAACGCCAAGTTCTCAGCATTGAGTTCTAATTCACGTCTATCAAGTTCCAGCTTGGCATCTTTTACAACATCAAACGCATTTCGCAGCTGACCGTTCACAGCAATAATATTTTTAAGTGCCTCACACGCTTGAAGAAGCTTCTCTGCCAATTCATTCACCCTAGCGTCATCAATACCACCCTGCAAAGTGTATTTAGGAGAATGCCAATCATCAACTTTTACAAGACTTTCCGACGCCAGACCTCTGTAGTATGCCAATTCCTTCTTCATACTGGCCACCTCCGCACGAAGCTGACGGATGAGCGCGGACTTTGCATCCTCGTTCACGTGTGGGATATTCGTGATGTTGCGTGCCTGGCCAGCGTACATAAGAGTCAACAAGGTCTCATCAACATCCCGGTCTGAGGGACTAATGCATGCGATCATGGTGGTCAGAGAGTTGCCACCCAGGGCGTGTTTCAGTAGCATAGTCAGCTTACTCTCTCGGTAGGGGATGTGCGACCTATCAGCTGATTCACCATTCTTTACCTTCCTCTTGGCACTCGTGGCGAGGGCCGTGATGACTCTTGCAAGAGCTAGAAGCGACGTGTTGATATCAATCGACTCCCTTACCAGCAATGGCGATGGATTCCCGGAAAGCATTGCAAGCTTCTCCGACCCTGCTAAATCCACAACGGAAAATTCGGCCTTGATGGGGGTCTCTGGCGAGTCGGCGTCCAAGCGGGTGACGTATATGGTAAACACGCAGTGTGAACGTGATGACTGCTGATTGATGGCGTGGCTCCCCATAACTTTCTC